GAAGATTTTATTACAATGAACAATTAAACAAGCCAGTGTTTGCATCCTTGCTATTCCTGTACCCCGGTCCCCTTTGGTGGAAGCCTGCTCCAGGAATCTCCTGTCTCACTGCTGTATTTGACCAGTCCAGACCTTTACATTGAGTTTTTTCTTCTAATGAGGCTGAAACACGCAGTACGAGCCCATAATGCGAGCTGGTTTAAGACAAAAACATATTACAATTGAGGAGTTTCTCACAGCCAACCAAAAAATTCAAACCTGCCATGGAAGATGGTTAACGCAGGTTGCAGAGCTGAATTTCCATAGCTCAGGCTTCAGGAAGTACTCATTGACCTCTTGGAAAGCTGTGCTTATTCTCCTGGATATTCCACAGAACTCAGAGGAAGTAAAAACATTGAAGCTGTTATTGCTGTTCTCTAATTGTCATGTTCACCCCCTGAAATAAGTATGCAGGCAAAGACTACCTTCCTACTGACCTTCAGAATTCTTCCAGGTCACTCACTCAAAATCTAGAAACAGTAGGTCAAAATGCATCTAGCAGTTTATGGAGGTTGGCAATGGCATCCCTTTATTCTTAAAGAAGAACTCCGGGCATATATAAAGGTACCCCTTGCAGTGGGGGCTAATGCTGTACTGCAAGGGGTAAGTGGTAATTTTGGTCTAGGAAGCTAAAAAAAAAAAAAAGTTGGACTTACCCAAATCATTATCCCAACTTGTTCTTTGAGTTGTCCCTTCAGCTTCGCTCCCATCCACCCGCTCTAGTAGTTTAAGGTCCTGTGAGACATTACGTTCAATACAGTGCATTGGACCTAGATAAAACAAACACTAACCCTTGCAGTGCAGGGATTGCCCCACTGTGAGGATTCATATTTGATTTGCCTGAAGTTCTGCTTTAAACTAATGTACCCTGTACAGTATAGAGCTAGAACTTTACAGCAGAATTTCAGGTTTTAGAAGCTATACCTTTTTATCATTAGAATTAGTTCTTCAGCTCAAGTTCCGTGACTGTTTTTGGGGGAGATGAGGTTACCAGTCTGCTGCAGCCAGTAGAAGCGTTTCTTGAGTCTTTTCTCCCAGGAACCAGACTGCAAAATTGTAACTTTGCTGCAATTCACAATGTGAGGGGCCACAATGATGTGTGGCAGACCTTGGTGAACATGCCAAGAACTCACAGGCACCAGGATCTACATGAATGTTTTTGGAGGTCATCCATAGAAGCAGGGGTATTCCCTTAACTCCTGGGCATATAAAAAGCTAAGCCTTGCACAGTGGGGCTACCCTCGCACTGCAGGGGTTAAGTGCTTGTTTTGGTCTAGGGATGAAAATAAAAAAAATGTATACTCTCTTGGTCCTTGGCCCCATCTGGCTGCTAGACCGGTCCTAGCAGCGTCTTCTCCCCTTCCACTCTGGCGGTCTAAGGTCCAGTGAGTCATCATGTCTAATGCACTGCACTAAACGTGAGGACACCAAGGGAAGAGAGGCTGCATTGACTGGTCTAGAACTAGATCAGGTGAGTATCTTTTTTTATTTTGTTGTACCCCATACTGCAAGGGTTAACTTTTCATATGCCTGGAGTTCTTCTATAAGGTGAACGATCTGACTTAAGTACACACTTTATTTATCGGCTAGCCTTAGTATGGTGAGCAAAATGGTTTCATATGTCTGGAATTTTTTTTTCTTCTATTTAAATGGCAAGACTGGTACAAGACAACAGAAGGGCAACAGTGCAGTGTCAGATTCCTCGCATCACCCTTCAACATCTCGTGTAGTCACGAGGCGGCCCAACGAAGTACTGATGGGGTGGTCATAATAATCTGGCCACTCAGTGTCTATTTAGATTCGAGCGTCTCCAGAGACGCACGATTGCTTGTATTAGCAGCTGTCACTGCCGGTCCCGAGATCCGCTTTGCCCGATGCGGCCGGGACCGGCACGGCTCTGTGACAGAGCTGTGCCGGTCCCGGACCCCTAATGTCTCCATAAAGAGGACCTATCATGTAAATTGGCTACCTACGTGCGAAAACGACAATTGCGCCTATTGTAGCGCACATGTTGCATATCATCGCGATAAATTGTAAGGTGTGTGGGCAGCTTAAGGCTTGGTTCACACCTAGGCGTATCGAATATGCGTGTTTGTCTTTGATTTGCGGTAAAAAACTAACGCGCGTTTCCGAGGGCTACTTGGCTGAACCCCAAGGAAATGCGCGACAAACGCCCCAAAGAAGCTCTTGTGGGGCGTGGCTTGGACATGGCGCCGTGAGCACACTCTTTAGGGGAGCTCTGCAGTCACCGAGCTGGACCGATGTTTTAGAGGACTTTATGCCCTAATTTTCTCCATGCCCAAGGTGCAGAGGAATGTCACGTACTGCCTCCCACCTTCCCTACTCTCGCCTCCAAAAACTCAAATCAGAACTACACCTCCTCCAACTGACTGACGTTTGGCGCATCATGCACCCACAAACTAAGGACTTTACGTTTTACTCCTCTGCGCATAACACGTACTCGCGCTTAGACTACTTTTTCCACCGACACAAGGACCTCTCCTTGGTTGTGGATGCGTCCATTGGAGATATCCTGCTCTCAGACCATGCCCCAGTTCACATGGCGTTGGACCTCCTCCCTTATGTTCCCCGATCCCCCTCGTGGCGTCTGAACGAGTCATTACTACAGGACCCGGGAGTCCGCTCCGAACTGGAATCTGCGCTCCTTTCCTATTTCTCCGAAAATTGTTCTCCGTCCTTGGAACCCACGGTCGTGTGGGAAGCCCATAAATGCGTTATCAGAGGCGTCCTGATCAGACATGGTGCTCGCAGGAAACGGGAGAGGGGGGTAAGAGTAGCCCAGTTGTTCGCCAGACTCCGTACCCTTGAACTTGCACACAAAAAATCCTTAGCAACTACTCATCACAAGGAGCTGGTCTCGCTCAGAGCGGAACTAAATGACCTCCTCCTCACCAATATACGGCAGGGCCTCTTGAAAGGCCGCCGTACTCTGTACGAACTATCCAACAAACCGGGCAGGTGCTTGGCCTCGGCTCTGCGGGGTTCCCGTCAGACGACACTCATTCCCCACATTACGTCCAGCACAGGAGCAAAACTGACTACATCGGCCGCTATGGCCAGGGAATTCCAGACCTTCTATAGCTCGCTGTACAACCTTAGAGCAGCCCCGGGTACCTCCCCTACCTCCCCCGACGGTACAACTCCGACGCGCTACCTTAGGGAATCTGGGATGCCCACTCTTACCTCCTGGGGTACGGGATCAGCTAGAAACTCCAATCTCCCAAGGGGAATATGATTTGGCACTCAAGCAGGCTAAACCGGGCAAGGCACCCAGTCCCGATGGCTTCACACTGCCTTTATTATAAAACTTTTTCCGACCTTCTCTCTCATTTCTTGGACGCATATAACTCCCTCCTATCGGGCTCCTCTCTCCCTGGGATGAACAAGGATCAGATATGAAGAATATCAAGTCGTCTGCAAAGGCGGCTACTTTGTGCTCACCTGAGCGTTTCGATAGGCCACGGAAGGTGGAAAGGGATCGTATGCGGCATAGGAAAGGTTCAAGGGTAAGGATAAATATGAGCGGGGAAAGGGGGCATCCCTGTCTGGTGCCGTTGGATATGGAGAAAAAAAATCAGAGCGGACCTCATTTACACGGACGGCAGCCGACGGGGACGAGTAGAGTGCAAGGATCCACCGCAGCATGTTAGGACCCAGGCCTATGTGGCGAAGGGTAGTCTGAAGGAGGCTCCACTCCACCCTGTCAAATGCCTTCTATGCGTCGGTAGACAAAAGCATTAAGGGTGACGGGGTGGATCGGGCATGATGTATGACGTTTAGCACTCTGGTGGTATCTCTAGGCTCCCGTCCCGGAACGAAGCCCGCTTGATCCAAGTGCACCAGACCAGGGATGTGGGGAAGCAGTCTGTTGGCTAGAATTTTGGCAAAGATCTTCAGGTCCAGGTTAAGGAGAGCTATGGGGCGATAACTGCTACACTGGGATGGGTCTTTGCCTGGTTTGGGTATGACCGCTATGTGAACGCAATTCTTCTACAAGAGTTGGATCGCTACACCTCCCTCTCCAATTTTAAAATAAATTTCTCAATCGGCTGCTCTTAATATCTCCCTTCCCCAGGCAGAGGTGGAACACCTGCGTACCTCCTTTCCTTTTGCCTGGTCAACGGACGCCCTGACCTACCTAGGTACCTCGATTACCGCAGACCCCACATGACTCTATGATTCCAACTAACTCCACAGACATCTCCCCTTTCCCCTTGCCTCTGACCCCAGTGATTGGCAATCCAGATTTACCACCTGGTGTTCACGATCCTCGTTTTCGGCGCCTTCGTGAAGCCAACAAGTTCCTTTCTGGCCGGTGGTTACTGGTGGACGAACTTGCCAATCTGACAGACCCTCCATTAGACCGCTGGGGCGCTCTCCAACTACGGCATTTTCTGCTCTCCATTCCTAACCATCAGCGACTCTCCAGTCGTCTTACCCCATTTGAAAAGATATGCAAAGAGGAGATGCCCAAAAAAAAAAAGCTCTTGTACTTCTTTGGGCGTAAGGCGTTTTGTAGCGTGTTCATACGGCCTGTAATACGCCCAGGTGTGAACCATACCCATAGGAAATAATGGGATTTCGGTGTTTCAGCCTTTTGCAGAGCGTTCGAACACGCTACAAAACGCCCAGGTGTGAACCAGGCATAAGCTATACAAATATTATGCAGCTGCAATTGATAGCTGCTCTGTGTTGCTTTCACCATGGGGAACCATTTGTCCTATTAGTTTAGTGATTTTATTTTTTTGCTGCTTGCAGAAATGAAATATAACTGCAGCATCTTTTGTCAGACCCTGAACCGCTATGAAAGGGTTAATTGATGATTGCATATAATTTTCACAATTAAGCTTCATTTAAGCACGTACTTTCTCTTGTGTAACATTGACATTTTCTGCACTATATTTGTCTATTTACGGGACATTTTTCTTTTCTTCCCCCAGACTGATATAGAGCTATTTGTGAACAGACTTGACTCGGTGGAATCCGTGCTTCCATATGAATATACTGCGTAAGTGTTGAATATTGTTTTTCTTTGTGTGTGTGCATAAATGATTACACAAGCTGAAATGGATGAGCTGTACAAAGTGAGATTTACAGGGTTATTCACAAAAGGATGGAGAAGGCAGGAGAAGTGAACAATCTAGGACAACATTGCTGAACTGGACAGAGAGCTGGATAGGAGAATTTTTCCAGATCAGCTATGTTGTCCTAGATCGTTCACTTCTCCTGCCTTCTCCAAACTCTTCACCCTGCTGTGAATAACCCTGTTAGTGTCAAAACAGTAGAGCTTTAAGGATGCATCCACTCGTTGAAATCTTCATTTTAGGGCTTTCTTGCCCACTTTTATTAAAAGAAAGTTCACAAATGAATGCAGTTACCATCGCAGGGGTTTTCCAGCATCTCTTGGCAACACAAAGATATGCACATCCAGCCTCTTGGCTTTGCTCTTGCAGCACCGCTGCTCTGGCCTCAGTCCACTGTTCCCTCCTAACCTGCACAATTGGTATACAACCCGCTGCTCCCTGCTGAATTGGACTCCACTCTGACTCCTGGGTGGAGTCGTCCTGTCTCCCAGGTGCTTCTAACACTAGCCAGCAGCTTTTTTTTTTATAAGAGTTGTGCACAGGTGAACAATCGTTGGGTGCTGGTCACTACTAAAGCCTGGACTCAGGAATGGAGATTCCATCTCTCCCAATGCTCTTTGAAATCTCCCAGTTCCAGGAAGCCAACTATAATCCAGAAAAACCTGGAAAGAATTGCAAAGCTGGCTCTTTCCTGGAACCGCTCAGCCCCTCTGGCTGAGAGTCCTGGGCGACTATTTGCCACACACTGCCACAACGGATATTGAGCTTTCCCCAAAGTTGATTCTTTTACGTTTAGAAGAACTTGGTGTGTAAATTTTCATTATAACAAGCTACAAAGAAAGCTTTTACAGCTATAAAGCAAAGCTTGAAATGTTAAAGTTAATCTCCAGGTAGATATAAAAACAAAAACAAATGAATGCAGATCTGTATGAATTAATAAATCCTTAAATGTGTGTTTTTTGTTTTGTTTTGCATGCAGTTCAAGTACCTTATGTTGATTTTGGCATCAGTCTCGCAATCTCTCATATCTGAGTTGAGAAAGTGGAGGAAAAAGCGGCACGAGGATCCAATCAATTGTGCTGCAATGCTCCTGTGCTAACAAGAGACATGCTGTTAGGAGTAGAGATCTGAGCTCATCAGTAAGCTACTTCTTTCTTTCACTGTCCAAGTGAATTTGGAGGTGGTGATTCCATTATCCCAATGTGGCCCCCTCTCCCACTATGCTTGCCTGACTGCGCTGACCAATGAGTGCTTCGCATTTGCAAGCGAAATCTAGACTCCATAGCGCAGGGCTGCACTACATGGCTGTACAGATAGTACACCTGTACAGGTGCAGAGAAAGGAGCGTTTGCCAAAAGTTAATTATAGCAGGAAGGAGCAGAGGGGGCCACATTGTAGGGCTAATTCCATTTCCCAAATTCACCTGGGGAAAGTGAACATTTTCTTCTTTCCCCAATAATTCTTTAAAATCTCGGATAAGCAAGGTATGCAACTTGCATAACAAATTAGTACAATATGTAAATTCAGAACAGTATAAATGTCAGGAACAACCATAAACACCATAGCAAATAATCAACTGGAATACCGTAGTGTCATAAAATGCTAGGAATGTATTGCCCAGGAATGGGTCTAGTATCCCGTCTCCCAAGATGGGACTTTTTTTTTTTTTCATATGCAGAGTGCTTCTATGAGTGAATAAACCGGAAAATGGAAAAATAAGGAAGAAAGAGCAAGATAAGACAACAGAAGAAACACGGAGGTACCGCCCAATAAGTCAGGAGAAAGAAATGGAAGCACAGGGAAAAGAGAAATAAATAAAAAATGCCAGTGAGGGGCAGTGACCAGCCCCCCGTCCCCCCTCTAAAATACCACTCAGTCAATTGACAGTCCCCTGCAAGGCTAAATCATGGTCCTGGGAAAAGACCTGTTCATGCCAGGGAAACCACGTGCGATTGAACTTATCCTAGCGTTTGTACAGAGCACCAGTGAGGTTTTCCATACGTTCTATCACCGCAGTCTTCGAGTACCACAGTTGTAAAGGTGGGGTAGCAGATTGCTTCTAGAGAACCGGAATGCACATTAAGCCGCTTTAAGCAAATGTAGTAAAAGTGAAGACTTGTATCTCCTCCTGGATAGACTGGAAACATGTAGAAGAAGGGCTGCTGGATTGTCCCGAACATCAACCCCCGTAAGCTTCTTAAGGGTCCTCACCTCAGTCCAGAAGTGGCAAATCCTCACGCATGACCAGAAGATATGGACAAAGTCACCTACTCCTTCCCCACATCTCCAATAGCTCCTGGAAGTCTGAGGAAACAATGGGATAGAAACTTATAGTTGTTCTGTATTCTACTAGATAAGGAAGCATAATGTGTCAAATCAATTGCATCATTCTATTCTGGAGTGAGGGAAATATTCAAGATGCACTTTACCCCTTTTTACTAAATATCACCTCAGCATGCGGATCTACATGCTGTATGAAATCATCTTACAGTTCCACTTGTTGCTCCACTTGGGCATTAGTGACATTAGCCCATGTCTAAAATTCATCCTGGGAAGGTTACATCAGCAGAGCATTGCTGGGAAATCTCATCTCTAATCTCAAGATCTCAGGGAAAAGCATTTTCCTCCCCTGAGATGATGCGCATGGTCACATGTCCTAGTCACATGTTCCAGGAAGTAAAGGGAGATCTAGTAATCTGCCCTTAGTAAAAATGGCCACTGTGAGAAGAATGGGGAGGCAAAGAAAAATAAGGTATGCAACAAATATGAAATCTGAATGAATGGGAGGCCTCTGTACTGAGTGCTTTCCATTCATTTAAAAACAGAGGCTGCAGAAAAAAAGATTGAGGACTCTGGCATTATGGAATGTTCTAATAAGATATTTGTATAAACGTTCATATGAAAAATCTACCAGTGTATGGGCAGCTTAAAGAAGGGTTAGGTGCTTGCTTGTGTCTAGGGACAAAAATGACAAACCTTTGAGCCGGCGCTCCCTCCAGCCTGTCTCCCCCCTCCCTGCAACATTGTAAACTTCTTCAGCGTCTTCACATCTATACACTGTGTATAGATGTTGATGATTTCCTGGAAGGATCGGTCTAACAAGCCGGCTCGGAGCTTCGGGTGAGTATAACTTTAGGTTTAATAAAAAAATATAAATAAAATCCAGACACAAACGAGCAGTTAACCCTTGCAGTGCAGCGGTAGCCCCACTGCAAGGGTTAATTTAAAAAAATTCCCGGAGCTCATCACCCTCTAGTAACTCCCACTGGTCACAGGGGTTTTGAAACTGGCAGCCTGGCTTCACCTTCTCTATGCTGTGAGGGAGTCAAGATGATTGCACCCCATGTGTGCATCAGTCGATTTCTGGGGGCAGACCAGCACTTTTTGTTCATTGATTCTACGCCGGTGAGTTGTTTATAAGCTGAATAGCTCATATCTGGCATCAAATTTAATAACCATTGAAAGGACAAAGGTAAGGGTTGAGTGTTGCACTGGTGAATTTTAAACATTGCCAGTTCAGAAATGATCCAATTTGTTAAAGTGGAACTGTAAGCAAAACCAAAAAGGCCATATAAGATGTAGTCTGTCTATAGCATTACCACAGCAATTGCCCGGAAACATGGTTTTATTACCTGTTATATGCCGTCAGTAGATCGATTTGATTTTTCCACTTCCTGTAATAGGAATGCAGGCACTAAGAGAATGACAATGCTGTTCACTCTGCAGTGAAATCAATGCAGCATTGTGAACTGGGTAGTTTTTAGATGGACATTAAGTAAATGGCAAACAGTCCACCTATAGGTAATGGCTCTTATGGTGGAATTCCTTATCTGCCACTTAATGCAAGTGTAAATGGGGTCTGAATAAAAGATGTTGCTGCAACACCCCTGTCGGCATGATAGTTGTCCTCCATAACGGTCATTTTTATTTGGGCAGCTTGGAATGTATGTAAATATGAAAAAATATAAAGACGTGAAATAAATGTAAAAATAAATAAAGCAATTTGTATAATTACATTTTTCACTCTAGTGTGCCTTAAAGGTTTACTTGATGTAACCAACCCACACAACGGTCTTTAACTGTTATTCATGCTTTTTTTTAATTTAAGGTTTGATTTTTGTCCATCAAAGGAAGGAAAGCGTCCAACAGAAAACCTTGGCCAGGTGTTGTTTGGTGAGCGGATTGAACCCTCTCCATACAAGGTTTGTGCTTCTATTATTAAGTAATAGACATGCTTTATAGTAGAGGTAGTACTAATAACTAGCAGTGCTGGTCTTCTGTCTTGTATTGTGCATTACACATCATTTTGCTCTGGTTCCCATGGGATTTAGCTTGTATGGAAGTGTTGCATACTGATCTTAACTGGCATGCTGGCTGTAGCTTTAAACAATTAGTGCTGGAGCCTACAGAACCTTGTTTAAAGCTGAACTCTGGGCTGGAAGACAAAACGCCTTGCAGTGGGCCCACCTCTCCCCATTGCAAGGGTTAAATGCTTGTTTTTGCTTGAGGCATAGGGTGTAATGGTTGCCTTACGTTCCTGTATGCTCCCTCTATCTGTGCGACCCGTCCAGAGAAGTCTCCGGTCTAAGGTGCTCTAGCCTGCGGTCTCACACTTGCCTCCTCCACATACATTGCAGTACTAATAGTGATGACGCCAAGGGCTCATAACCTGGAGCGTAATGGAAAAGAGGGGCATGCCGTAGCGCGGCTTAAAGTTGCTAATGCAGCCTCTTCATCTACCCTATTCAGTAACTAGCATTTAACCCATGAAGTGGTGGAGGGGGAGTTGAGCTTTACATTTCCATTACATTAATACCAGGCAATCATGTCATTAAGGTCCTTAGTCAAGCACTTTCTGCTATAGGCTGACTGTGCTCTGTCCCTTCTCCCAATCCTGATCTGTTACGCAGACCTAATTCATTGTTCCCATCAGGAAATCTGCCCGAGAAAGGACTTTAATGCTTTTGCTGTGAACTTTGAGGATGAATTACTTCATAGTTCCTGGAGCTACAAAGGTCAATTTAGCAAAGAATATATCAATATTTCAATGTTCATAGCCTTTCTATGGGTTCACTTTTTGGATTTTATGGAAGCCGCTTGTGAAATACTTTTAATGTCTGCTTTTACTTTTCCAGTATTCCCAACTAATGCCTGTCTAAGCTGGGCTTTATGATCTTTGCTTTTTTCTTTTACAGTTCAGATTTAAAGAAAACAAAAAATGTGAGGATGTTTGTGTGAAAAAATACACTCCAGATCAGCAGAGTAAACAGAAGTTGGAATTTTTGAAGAAGAGCATGCTACTTAACTACCAGCATCACTGGTGATTATATCCTACTGTTATCTTTATCCTACTGTTATCTTTATTTGAATGTAACTTGCTGTTGACGCTTAGGCCTGGTTCACACTGAGCATTTTGTAGCACTTTTTCTGACCCCCCCCCCCCCAAAAAAAACCCATTTAATCTATTTGGGCAAAAAAAGTGCCCTCTTTCCGGCCCCCCCCCCCCAAAAAAAATCCCATTTAACTTATATGGTCCTGTTCACATCTGAGCCTTTTGTCGCTATAAGCAAAATGCTTATCGCTGGAAAAGGTACAAAGGTATAAGAGCTTTTTTTTGGGGGGGGGGGGCATATTACAACTTGTTTTGGCCCCATAGACTCAATAGGAAAAGCCTTGAAACGCCTGTTTGCTGTGTTTTTGCACGTTTTATGCACTTTTTCTCATTAATATCAATGAGCTATAATCTACTCACAAAAACACGCTTTTTGCCATATGCACATAAAATGTGCATCGAAAACGCGCAAAGAACGCACAAAAACATACATCAAAAACGCGCGTTAAAATGCTGTCACCTACGTGTGAACCAGGTCTTAAGCGTTTTTGGAGCAGTATAATGCTTATAACACACAGAACATTGGCATGGCTGCTTACACTGTTCAGGTCCTTCCCTCTTCTTTAACATCTATTAGAAGGCGTAAAAGGTACCTGTAAAGAAAAATGTTAGGGCTTATACCTCTCACCCCTGTCTTCTGCCTACAGCATTCAGGTGAGGATGGTGTCGCACTCCTGGCTAGAACCTGGGAAATTGAGCAGCTAAAATCTCCTCCTACAATGATGCAAAAGACAGATTATTTTGATTAGATTTTTTTTCAGACTCCTAGTCTTTCCAGTACGATCTCAAACCTGGAGTTCCACCAGCAAAGCTATTTCCGTGCTAAGTTGTGAAACATCCTAGCACTCCAAGTGGTTGCTTACAAAAGTGGGTGCCACATCCCATTGAAGTGCTAACTTTTTTCTGGTGCCACCGGCATTTATCTCTTTCCCTGCAACTGACATAAGACATATGGCAGAACAGGGCCCCTTTCAGCTGGCCAGGTCAGTATTTCGTATGCCAACTGCATTTTCCCTACTGCTATAAGCTGATGGTCACCCTGCTTAAAACAATAGGGCTCACTAGACTCTTCCTAATGAAAAGCTGTCATCAGTGGTTGGTAGGCTGCTGATCACAGCCATTCATTGAAAATCTGGACCCGAGACCATATTTATCACTCCTTTTTGTTAGAATGGTAGTGTTTTTTGTTTTTGATATTTTTTTTTTCTCCAATGTTTGATGCATCCAATCTTAGTGGGGAAAAACTATGATATTGCTCTCTGACATTCCACAAAGTACATACTGGTAGACATTCCAATATTTCAACCCTTTTCTGCTGTTTTAGTTCTCAAGTAATGAAGAGGAACAAGTACCCTTTGCTGCTGAATCTGATTAATTGCCAAATCTTAAATGTTTTTAAAAGTATATGAAGGAAAAGCGTATGCCCGATGCTTTGTCCTTCAAATATATTGTTGAAAATCCTGGATTGAATATGAAGTTAGTCGTTCTCACTGGAAATCATAATTGCATTCTCTATACAAATGTTATGGATTTCCTTTCTCTAGAGACGGTTTATCAAGCAGAGTGTACAGCATTCATGTAGTAGAACTGCAGAGTCCGAGGAGGGTAATAGAGGGAGACTAAGCAGAAGCAGTGGGCTTCACTACTCGGCAGGAAGCCCAGCTTTTGTATGTTATATGAACCTATGGCTACTGCATGCACATACTGATTTACAAAGCTCACATAGATGCAATACAAGTTCATTTTTAGTTCTAAGATCCAGAGGTGTATAAAAAAAAGTCACTGTACACAGGATTATCTGTTATACACTTATTTTGTCATAAATATTACTTGTGACCTCTAATTCTAGATAAATTGAACCACCTTGTCTCCCTTCATTTTAGGATTGTTGACAATATGCCTGTTACATGGTGTTATGAGGTAGAAGAGAAACAAAAATTTTGCAATCCTGGCTTTCCTATTGGTTGCTACATTACAGAAGATGGTCACCCCAAAGATGCGTGTGTAATAAATGTGAGCATTTCTTCCGTGTTTTGTTCTGCATCCCTGCTTGCAGAAACAAAGAATGACTTCCTATGGTTTTAAAATACATTTTTGATTTATTTATATTTTGAAATGAAAATCTTCTTTCATCTACAGTCTGAATTCCATGAGAGAGATACATATTATATCTTTAACCATGTGGACATAACTATATATTACCATGTGGTAGAAGATGAAGCAAAGGGCTCAAGACTGGTTGCTGCTAAACTTGAACCTAGAAGGTACGTTATCATATCAGTCGCCCAATAATACATTCTTTAGTCTTGATTTAACAGTTCCACTACTCAGACTTGGTGCATCTAAACCTAAAAACAAACAATGTAATAGAATGCTTATCAGTCCTTTAGATGCGGTGGCTGCATTCATTACTTTTTGTTTCACCTAGTAATTCTGCCTGGAACACACACTCTGTCCTAGTGTGACTGCTTACTTCATGCACTGCATCTACCGTAAGAAGGAGCAGTGTTGTCGCCTTAGGCTGCTCGGCTGATTTGGACTACACCTCCCCTCTCTTTTATCTCCATGACATAGAGGAGCATTGCTTTGTAATTCACTAAAGAAAGCTGAGAAAGCCGATAACATGGTTTTAGATTTCAGCTGCTCCGGTTTTGATAAATTCCCCTCCGTTTCTCTTCACCCTAGACCTGCACAATTGTTAGAATGCTGAACAGCTTTTGTTCATCACTTAAAAAAATTGTTACTTGGGAAAGGGGGTGCAGACAGACTTCTGCAGATATGAAGTGCAGGAACCCTCCCACCTGCAGCAGTCTGCCATGCCCGCCTGTCAGGGGTGCATGCTATACTGTCCTGAAAAGTAGAGATCTGATACGCAGATAGTGTTGTAACTTACTGCTAAGTCATAGCATAACACCTTCCTTTTCGCCTATCACTATGGCCGGCCTCACTGGACAATACAAATGGACAGAAGGTGCAGCATGCTTCAGCACGATCAGGATGTTTCAAAACTGTGCCTGTCAGACTGAAATTCGTCCATGATGGGAAGGTTTGAGAGGTTGCTGCAGGTATTGCTGCCTTCACTGTAGCAGTTTGCTCTGGTAGCAGTGTGGTTAAAAAAGACCCTTTAAATGGGAGGAGAACAAATGTTTTTGTTGTGCAAAAAACATGTTAAAATATGAATTTGTGGCTAGAAAACTGCTAAAAACCGTTAAACTACTAATTTTCTGAAAGACAAGGACCTGTTGAGTAAAAAAAAAAAAAAATGCTAGCTGCAATTTTTTTTTTATGGTCACTGGATTGTTGTACAAATATATATTTATATTTATCAGATTGATTTTCTTTTTTTAATATAAAAGATGGGGTTTTATCAGATAAATCCGATATCAAACGTTTCAAACCTGAAAATTGCACAAACTGATGCCCATAGGTGACAATTTAACCCTTTCACTGCCAGTGTTTTTTGCACACGTTACAATCCCCATTTTAGGGCTGAAAATTACTGGCAACACCCAGAATGATATATTTCTTGAAGACATAGACCCTGTAGAAAACAATGCTGGCTGTTAATACTGTCGCATAATATTGGTGCAACTCTTTATCAGACCCAACATTTCAGTAATAAAATACATTTAAGTGCCCAAAAGCACAATATAATACCCCATCTGTTTGTGAAATAAAAGATGAGGTCGTGCTAAGTAAAAAGACCCAACATGCCAAACTTAGAAATTGCGCGCACCCGTGAAAGGGCGACCAAATACGGTACCCCAAGTTGTTCATAGGCAGCACTTTAAAAGCCCGTAGAGGCCATCATTTTAGAGATGGCCGTGAATTTTGGCCCTAGAATTATTGCTCTCACTCTGGCACATGTTGCCATGCCTAACGTGTAGCGCAATTGTCATTTTCATACGTAGGTACACCCGATGCGTGTTTGTTAGTATGTGCACGACTTTAAAACTTTTTTTTTTATTTCACTTTTTATGGGGTTCTTTCTTGCTCACAAGCCCCCTTTTGTGATAGCATATTAGTGGTGACAGATTCTCTTTAGGGTAACATTAGGGGTCTATTAGACCCCTAATGTCACCTTTGCACTGCAAAGAAGCTGATACGTAGGCGCACCCGACGCATGAAAACGACAAACGCGCTACACATGTTGGGTATCGCCGCGCACGCCGGAGTGAGAGCAATAATTCTAGGGCCAGTATTTTGTGTATCTCTAAATTGATGACCTGTGGGGGCTTTTAAAGCGTCTTATATGGACTTTTTGGGGTACTGGGGTTTTTCGCCGTTTTACGGATGCACGCAATTTGTAACCTGGGCATGTTGGGTATCGTTTTACTCGTTGTAACCTCATCTTTTATATTTCATTAAAGAAATTGGTATTTTGTTGTGTTTTGGGGCATTTCATTAAATTTTTCACTAAATATTGGGGTTTAATAAGGAGTTGCGCTAATATTGCGCAACATAAAAATTTTCAACTACCACCATTTTATTCTATAGGGTCTTGGCATTCAGAAAATATATAATGTTGGGGGGTTTTAAGTAATTTTCAGGCCTAAAATGTGGAATATAACATGGGTACAAAAAATGAAAAAAAAGGCCTCAGTCATGAAGGGGTTAAATAAGTTTGGGGGTCTATCTTTTCACATGTCACTTCAGATACATAAAGGTCTGTCATAAAAAAACAGACACCTTTTGCCGCTTGCATATATCTGCAGCAGCTTTCCAAGCAAATTACAGCTTAATTATTGGCCATTCTAAGAGGCACACCTTCAGCACTTAATGATAGTGCCAAAATTTGCCCACCCCTTCCAAGCTCTTGCACTTCCCTATTGGCCATTGAGGCTCCCCATTATAGTAACAGGCTATTAGGAATGTGTGAGGGCAGAGCTTGGAAATAAGCTCATTCACTTCCTGGAAGTGTTGGAGCTTTGCCTGTCGCAACTATCCAGGATTTGACCTTGGGGTTCTTGAAGTTGTGTTTTTTTTTGTTTTTGTGAATGACTTATTAAAGTTAACTGCTGGCAACCTAATTCTCTTACTACATAATTTGTCTATTCTGTACAGTAGTAATGATATAATTTAATTTTAACTGTTCTTTGGTGTAACTTTTCTACATGTTGTTTTTCGTTTTGTAATATAGCTACAGGCATACTCATTCTGACAAAGCAGATTGTTCTGGTCCTCCAATGGAAATAAAAAATGGCAAAGACGACCTTGAAATCAGATATACTTACTCTGTTACTTTTGAGGTAAGCATTTTTTAGAAGTATGTTTTGAATTAGTGGAACCCGATTGCTATGCCACAACATGGCTCCGGGACAATGTGTTGCTCTCTTGCAAGCCAGCAGCCATAGTTTCAAGAAACGTTGTCTTTGTTCAATACCCTCTAGTTAGAAGTGCACTCTCCTGGTTGATTGGTGACTCAAGGGCCAGTGAGTGTTCTATACTTTTTGCATCTCACTGGCAAGTCCCATGTGTGATTTCTTGTTAACATGATTTTCCTATCCTAACTATTGACCTAATAGAAGTCTGTGGGGACTTATTGCCATACAAAGGGTGTTCAAAGACTAAGCATAAAAACAAAAAGGCATAGTTGAAGGTTGTTTAGGATGTAATTTAGCATACGTTCTATTCTACTTTTTACTCTTGATTTACTCTTTGATTTCTATTTACCTTTTTTGATTTTCCAAATGTCACTGAATATTGTGTTCCTCAATGAATGAGAAGGAACACAGGATTTTTGACTCTCTTTTAGGGGTGCACCGATACCATGTTTTCAAGACCAAGTACCGATACTTTTTTTTTTTCCCCCCCCCCCCTCAAATACTTGCCGATACCAATTAGTTTGAAGGCAGCAGGAGCCTACGGCTCCTCTGCCCTCAGTATCAGTACCATCGCCAAGACCATCTTCCTGGTCCTGGTGGAGTAGACGAGCAGCCACAGCTAAGTGTGGGACGGAGGTACTGGGTGATTTATTTATTTTTCTCTCAATGCAAAGAATGCATAAGGGTAAAACATGCCGTTAGTACTACTTTAATAAAGGTGATGCCTTTCATTGTTTAAATTTATTTTGTAGTGCAAAGTTTCAAGTACACTCACTCATGCAACATTTGGAACTGCTGAAGGATTATGTCTTTACAAATGCTTGCATTGTTTTGCCTTAAAGTGTCTTCTTTTTTTTTTTTCCTTTGCTGTACAGGAGGAAAAAAACATCAGGTGGGCTTCAAGATGGGATTACATCCTTGAGTCTATGCCACATACACACATTCAGTGGTTTAGGTGAGCATATGATTTTAGTTTTATCTTATGTACTGTATTCCTTCACATAAGGACTGATTTGTGTCTGTCTGATATGGACATGATTTTAACTTGCATACATAGTGAGATTAAATGCCCAACCATATTACATTTGCACACAGTTTGGTTCATCTTGGGGTAAATGGAGCTATCTCCGTGTTTTGAGATCATATAAATATGCAGGGAGCATATCTGGCTACATCTGCAGATGTCCTTCTGATTTTGTATTTTTACTGAAGCCAAGCCCCTTAGCACATGGACAAGTATGTCCCACCAGATGAATTCTTTGCGCAATTGAGCAAAAATTTGGGCAATCTGACAAACCACAGATAATATGTACCCACGTCTGTGGAAGGAGAGTGCTTTCCAAGTTCAGATTCTAACACTTTGACATGAGCCTACACGGTTGGAAAAACCAATGAATGTGGTTTCTGACTATGTAAATACCATGGAAGCATGAGGTACAACATAAAAAGCTTGGTAAATGCTTGTGTAAAAATAGCCATAAAATACAGCTAACAAAATATTCCGGTGGGCAAATTAGTCTGTTAACTGACTTTTATACTAACACCACTAAATTTGGTTTGGCCATATAGGCTGCAGTGACCTTTCCTTTATAATTGATTTAAAGTGTATGTAAAGGCAAAAAGTTTTTTTTTGTTTTGGATAGGGTGGTTAGGAGTTTAATTACTGTCCAGGCCATTTTTCAGTACTCAGCGCTGCAGTACTTTGACTGACATTTATTCCATCCTTCAGCGCAGTACTGAAATTAATTTTATACCATTTTTTTGGGGACAGATAGAGCTTTCTTTTGGTGGTATTTAATCACCACTGCGGTTTTATTTTTTACTATATAAAGAAAAACGTACCGAAAATTTTTAAAAACTGTTTTCCCTACGTTCTGTTATGAAACAAGATTATTATCCACATTTTTTGGTAAAATATTAAACACGGGGTCACGTCGAGTAACTAGACGCCAAACATGTCATGCATTCAAATTGCACATGCGCCCGCGACATTGCAAACAATTTACCATACAAAAATTGACCATAAGCAACACTTTTAAAAGCTTTTACCGTTCATCAGTGTAGTGTTAACTATGATTTGATGGCCCTTTTCGCACTCCTACATTCACGGTGATATGTAACATGTGCACCGCAATGGGTGCAATAGTCCTTTTTTTTTTTGTTACTTTAATTTTTTAAACTTAAGCTAACAAGCCAAATATGTGATGGCCAATTTACAATGACAGGTCCTCTTTATGTAGACACCAGGGGTCTTAAGATCCCTGATGTCACCTAGGAACCCATAGAGAAGGTAATAAAGCAGGGATTTGCTTCACCAGCTACTTTCCAGCTACAGAAGCCGGAGAATGACCGCTGAATGCAGAAGTGATGTAATATACATCACTTCCTGCATTCAGAGATCAGAGGGAGATCTCCAATCACAGAGCCACTGTGCACAGTGGAGCTTGGGATTGGCGCTTGAGGGTATGGAACTGCACACCCACATGCAAAATACAAGCAATCGGGCCAGAACACTTGTATTTAAACAGCCATCGTTGGCTGTTTGAAATTGGAGCGCAGTTTGCCCGCTCATGCGCTGGATGAGGGTGTGCAGGAGTGGGGGCGGGAAGGAACGTTTTAAAACACCCACCTGCATCTAGAAGGCTCCTGTCTGGCAGTTTATGAATGGCTGCTGGACGGGAAGCAGTGAAACCACTAACCATGGGATGTCCCTTGAACAAGGAAGCCCAGAATTGAAAATCCACATATAGAAAGTGAGAGCACCAAACAAGACCGAGTCCAAGAACTTTAAATAATACAATGGGTTCACAATGGGTTTTTAGGATGTAGCCAAAATCTTGAGTCAGCCAAACTTGTTTTTATTGCTGTCTGTGTCCCCACTAGTGAGATTTACCATCTTTGCCCTGGCAGCCATTGTCGCTCGAAATGAGGGAAATTCCCAAATTTTGAGTTGTTGCCAAAACAGGAATGTAAGCAATAATTTTCCAGTGGGGACACTTGTTTCTGTGGCAACGGTCTCAGACGATTGACCTCACTTTGGAGAGATTAATTGTTACTTCCTGGTGTGTCTGCATGACGAGCATAAAGTAAGTCTCCAAACCAGACACAGATGGAAGACCATCATTCTCTACTCTAAAATAATACCAAAACATTTTTGGCTTCTAATGTACTTCAAGCATTCCACTGAGAACATACTGCTGTATAGAATTTTATGTTACAAGCCTTGATTCTAGTGTTCTAAATCTAATGTGTTTTGTGTGTTGGTTGCATGTGTTCTAATGTCAAATTAGTCTTCTTTTAAGTTGCAGCAGTTGTAAAACCTGAGCTTTCTTTTTCTTTTACAGTATAATGAACTCCTTAGTGATTGTGCTCTTCCTGTCTGGTATGGTTGCTATGATCATGCTGAGAACACTGCATAAAGATATTGCAAGATACAACCAGATGGATTCTGCCGTAAGTAACTGGAGCCCAGAAATGGCGTACAAGCAGTTCCACATCTTCTGAAATGGGCAGAATGTGTTTTTTTTTTTTTTCTTTTGTCTTTTAGTACATAGATCAAGCATTGGTTTTAATCGGCCATCCACATGCATGTTTTATAAGATTTCTATTCCGTATGTACAGATACCCTTTGCCTGTTTAAAACTGACCATACAATCTCTATTCAGGGCCTGCGTAAGCAATGCATTAAGACCAATGTACTACATGACTTGACCGATCTAAAAGCTTGTATTATACGATTATGGAAATTTTTGGTCAGCGCTACACATGCCTTTTTTTTATACTGTTGTAGAAGAACCCCATAGGCTTTGCATTTGGAACGTCAAACTATTCAAAAAAAGGTTCAGCATCTAAATTGTTAATGTGTTGAAGGATATCTATACCCAAGAACAAAAATGTAATTTTATTGCAGCTCAGCAATCCTTAGATGGGTCGGCTGTATGTGTTTGTGTTAACACTCACTGGGTTTCTGGAAAGATTATCAGCATTTTCCTGTTCTGTCCTGTGAACTTCAGAACACCTCCCCCCTAAAGTTATGGAGGTGAGGGGGCGAAGTTTTGTATTCCAAATCAGAAGCAAGCAGTCTAGGATAACAGTGCTTCTCCTCCAAAGATGAGGTACACTTAAGCTGGTCGCACACTGTTGTAGTTTTTTCATTCAACGCGTGCACTGAACGAAGAGGATAGAATAGATTCCTCCATCAATGCTACGAGCGATGATCGAGGAATCTCCCGCTGTATTCATTGAATACCTGAACAGAGGCGGCAGCTCATTGGCAGCCAGCTGTGTTCGTACAATGATTTTCCGACGATGATGCCCCTTCGATCAGCTGAAAGGGTGCTGACAGCTCCCACTGTCCGAAATTAGCTTAGTGTATGGCCACCTTTAGTGATTGTTGTCACCCTAGGACAGGAAGCATGTTGATGGCAGCTTCTCCAGGTGAAAATATGAGAGAAATAAAACTAATGCAGCCACCACATCTAAGGACCGGTAAGCTGCAATATTACATTTTCGTTCCTAGGTCTAGATGCAATGTAATGCTTTGTGGCCTAACCCATGTTCAATTACCAACATTGCTACATCATTGTTGCACTACTTCAATAAATCAGTCACATACAGTAAACTACATACAGAATGGAACAATCTGACTTTCATACATACAATACTTAAAGGAGAACTATGGGGTTAGGGCTTTTCCCCATAGTTCTCCTTAGGGTAATGGGAGGACACAAACTACCGTCCTCCCGTCACCCTAAGCTCAGTATACCGCGAGCTGCAGCTGAGACACCTCAGCTGAAACGGATCCCGACAATTATGTCTGGATCCGCCCAGCTGTGTGAGTGACAGCTGGATCTACCTATATAGAGGCAGAGCCAGCTGTACCCGCCCCTCCCCCATCCGTTCCACCAGTGGGCGCTGGCGGATCGGGGAGGGGGGAATCCAGTCCCTTCCCTGTCACGGCTCTCTGCCGGCACAGGATCGAGAAGTGAGCGAGGGGCGGTATGTGTTCGCTCACTTCCCGATCTATTGAGCCGACATGTGACCGTTTCATTGTCACATGCCGGCTTGAACTATGAGGATGAGTGAAAATCACTCACCTCATAGTTCTCTAATAAATCAGTCATATGTTCTCTAACTTTAACCCCTTCATGACTGAGGCCCTTTTTTCATTTTTTTTGCACCCATGTTACACATGAATAAACCAAACCTAAGGTCCTATTCTCTCTGATACCAGCAGAATGTATCTGATTTCATCCTTTATATATTCTGTTGGTTTGTCTTTCAGGAAGATGCTCAGGAAGAGTTTGGTTGGAAACTGGTGCATGGTGATATTTTCAGGCCTCCAAGAAAGGGCATGCTGCTCTCCGTTTTCCTTGGTTCAGGCGCTCAGATCTTGATTATGACATTTGTCACTTTATGTAAGTATTGATTGAATTTGATATCAATTGGTAACTGCCTGACTGTTTTCTAGTAAAAAAAATATTGGAATGTTTTTTTAAAAAAAATTCACATCTGTGTATATAGTGACGTAGGACTGTACAAAATTGATTAATAATTATGCACATTTGCACTCTTTCAGTTTTTGCATGCCTTGGATTTTTGTCTCCTGCAAACAGAGGAGCTTTGATGACATGTGCTGTAGTCCTGTGGGTGCTGCTTGGTACTCCTGCGGGTTATGTGGCTTCCAGGTTCTACAAATGTAAGTTGAAACAAGTATTGGAAATGATTTGGCACTAAAAGCCCACCAGTTTGTCTAATGGATTTAATGTGAAAATGACTTTGTACCCATTTTTTTTATACAGACTAAGTGAATATTGTACTAAATCTGTTGAGCGTAATGGTACATAAATAAGAGCTGAGAGCAGTTGGTATTTTGTATCTTGACGCTATTAATTAGTCCTTAGTTACTGTTCACAACGGGCTAAGGAAAGGTATGGCCTTGCATTGGTTCTAAAGTGTGTTAATGCAATGAATATGTATGTTAAGCACAGGTGCAACGCATTTGCAAAGCTTTTAACAAAGTATGAGCAGCTTTAAGTCTTTAAAGGTAAGCTCAGTCCTAGTTTTGGAAGGTTAAATACAATTTTTAATGGAAATGCTGGCTGTCACTTTAAGCAAGCTGCTAGCAGGCTTTTCTCCAACTTGCAGAATTTTGCTAGCAGCTTATTTAAAGTGACAATCCGCTCTCATTAAGTACTGAAACTCAGTTCTTTAATACGTCAACGAATCTGGAAGCTTTTCTAATGCTTTGTAAAACCTTGCTGTACACATTGCTCTTATGCAAGCTAAAGGTATTCAGATGGCAAGATGCTGGTGAAATTATGAAAGATCCTACCATTGTGCAAAGTTTCTTTAGCACAGTTACTGCACAAACGTTCATGTTTGACTTCACTCGGTGTGCATTTTTCTCCTCTCCATTCCCATCTTGCTCTGAACTAGCAAGGGGAGAATAGCAGTGATGGGGGAAGAATCATTCAGTCTAAATTATTCTATCCAAAGATCCGTTGGTGTGTGCACTCAACGCATAGTTTAACCATTTCCCGTCTGGCTACTGTATATAAACAGCTAGTAGGTGAAGTGTGTGTGCACACAAGCAGCTGCTCGCAGAGAGCATTGCATACAAGTGCAGAGCAGATCGTCTGGCTTTGTGCCTTGCAATCGCTGTGATTTGGTCATATCAAGGTTTACATTGTAAAGCCTTCCTCCTACTACAGAGGATGGGGAAAGTTTCGGAACTAATGAATGAACAAATTGTATTTTACATTTTATGTATGTGTGTGTGTGTGTGTGTGTGTATATGTAGATCGATATATGCATAGTCCAAGAATTTACAGGTCTCAAGTTTTTTTTTTTTTTTCTAACAATTTTTTTCTTTTCTTTTTTTAATACAGCATTTGGTGGTGAAAAGTGGAAAACAAATGTTCTGTTGACTGCATTCCTGTGCCCCGGGTATAGTCCTTTTTTGTTTTTTTTGGATTTTATTTATTAGAATAAAATATAACATTAGCTAATAGTTTGCTGCGACTGTCATTTTTGTGAAGAATAGCCCAAGTGGTTGCAGACTTATAACACAATGAACTAGATATGTATGTGTAATACGTACACAAGATGTTTATTGGGAATTCCTGCTAAAGATTGTTTGATCAGCACAAATGTACATACTACTTCTTCTGCCTGCTGATCTAATGTCTACGTTTTTGTTGTGAAGTAGCTCCTTAAATTGTTCTAGGCCTATAGATTCCAAACATGCCTACTTCACTGTAATTCTGAAGCTTAAAGGAATGTGTCTTTGTTATTTTTGTTTCTCTAGGATTGTGTTTGCTGATTTCTTCCTGATGAACTTAATTCTTTGGGGAGAAGGATCCTCCGCAGCCATTCCTTTTGGTACTCTTGTGGCAATCCTGGCATTGTGGTTTTGTATTTCCGTCCCTCTTACTTTCGTGGGAGCCTATTTTGGATTTAAAAAGAACGTAAGTATTTCACAACTTTATTGCTCCAAAGACCTTACTCCATAAATTATAAGCTCAAGGGTATACCCTACTTGTTCCCTTAGATACAGTCATGTAGGTTATCAAGATTTCTGCTGGAGATGGTGAACACTGGCCAGGACTGTTGTTTCTGGTTACAGCTGTGATGGGCAGTTTTTGTTTAACAAAAACCACAAGTGAAATAAGTCCACTCTAATGAAGAGAATGCTGGCTGTGGAGCGCTGGCACATAATACATACTTTATAGCTTAGTGAATTCGACCTAATTTGTTGATTTTTAGGTTACACTGTTCTCAGTGAACCCTAAAGCCCAATTGGAAGAGTTTTCTCTTTAAACCAACAGTACCCTCTTTATCATGATCCAAGCCAATGCATTTCAACATGATTATAAAAGGCTTTAGAATTCTGTGTGTGATCCTCACATTTTTCTTTTACTAAGACCTCACTTGCTTGTAGTGAATGACAACCAAACATACCCTGTGGCTAACTTCAAACGTTATACACATAGTTGTTGCACAGTTTTAATTTTTTTTTTCCAATTGTCATAAACCAGAAACTTAAATTAGTAAAAATAGTAGTGTGCATAAGTGTCTTGCATTTCACTAGACTTAATAGCCAGACCTCTTAGGTGAGTGGTTGGGGAACCACTATTGTAGCACGTCAGGATCTGTGGCATATAACTGCCCGGGGGAAATGCACTTCATTTTAGTGCACAAACACAATATACAGTATTACTCAATTTTTGGGTAAAATATAAAAGACACTTGCGCCAAGTAAATGGATACCAAACCTATGAAACTTCACGTACCTGTGAAATAAAAAAAAAAAACTACTGTACCCACAATTGTCCTATAGATGATATTTTTAAAAGCTTTTACAGGTCATTTGAGTTACCCATGATTAATGGCCCTAGAATGATTGCTCTCATTCCAGTGTGAGTGGCGATATTGTACATCTGTGTTGCAGTGATTGTTTTTGTATGTTGGAAGATTCAAAGCACGTTGCCGTTAGTGTGTATGCGGGGGCAGAAGATCAAATACATTTGGGGGAAGTGTGTGTGTATGTATGTACAGTATATGTATGTGTGTGTATATGTATGTGTATATATATTCTTTATTGCTGTAACATAGGGGGCTATGTGATAGCACTTTTAGTGGAGGCAGGTCTATTAGATCCCTAATGTCACCTTCGTAGCCAGCTGATCAAGCACAGATCTGGCCAAAGAGGCCAGGTGATGAAAAGCTGAGAAACTGGGTCTGAATAAATAATTGTCGGTTTAGGGGAGATCGGCAAATGGATGTTCGCTGACCGCATGTTTGCTAGCTCGCAGAAGTGATCGGGTGGCTTCACACCTTCAAGTGTAAAGCCAACAGTTGACTTTACACCTGTGAACATACTGCCACCAGGACTGTTTTAGAACAGGGGCCTGCTGGTGGCTGCAAAAGGGTTAAATAAGCCTTTGTCTTTTCCATGTGATGATTCACTTTCAGTGACAACACTTTTTTGAGCTACAGGGCAGAATAAGCCCTAATTTTTTTTTTAACGATCTCCGCATGTAAACAGCTTGTGATACCAGGTCTGGTAACTTACCTCATGCACAGATTTTGTGGTACTTTTATGATTGTTTTTTCATTAACAACTTTTGCTATTTTTATGTCTGGAGTTGTTTTTTTTTTAAATTTTTGTGCGGAAATGGAAACATGATTTGTTAATGACTATGTAAATATGCATTCGCCTCTCTTTTGCCTTTTTTGTAGGCCATTGAACACCCGGTCCGCACCAATCAGATCCCTCGTCAGATTCCTGAACAATCTTTTTACACAAAGCCGTTACCTGGTATTATAATGGGAGGAATTTTGCCCTTTGGCTGTATCTTCATACAACTCTTCTTCATTCTTAATAGTATTTGGTAAGAGGATTTTCTATGTTCTTTGAGCGCGGTCTCCTGTAGCTATTATGGCAGCACCTCTGTTTCTTCTAGGAAAAGTTTAATTGATTCTGGCAGCAGTTTGGTTATTACAGGAGCTTTTGCTTCTACATACATCCAGGCGTGAGAAGTTATATTGAAGTAATACATGCGCCTGTCATGCGTGATTGTATTTATTTAAATTCATTTTCTTTTATACTAATAATGTTGCCTCTCTAAGACTTTAAGCAAATCACACTTAATATTATTATTAACGCAAGCCAAACCATTTTGTTTTGGATAGAGCAGGGAAAGTTTAGAGTCCTTCTGTAGCTAAAACAAAAAAAATCTGTTTTTAATGTTTAAATGTAAACCAACTTTTTACATGGGTATTGAAAATCTAAGCCTTGTTCTGCTTCTCAATCGCTAATAGGATGTGGCTGACAAGATGTTATGACATGTTCATGTTTCTCCAAAGCTTTGTACATTTCTTAGCTGCTGGGAGAAGTTATTGAAGTCTGAAAATATCGCCTTTCCAACAGGACTGTGACTGACCCTTCATTTTTGTTTCTTTAAGGTCCCATCAGATGTATTATATGTTTGGATTCTTGTTCCTCGTGTTTATCATTCTAGTCATCACATGCTCAGAAGCCACGATATTACTTTGCTACTTTCATCTGTGTGCTGAGGTATGACCTTCCATTTTAAGTGTGGGGGATATTGGTGTTTCTTAATGTTAAAAGAGGTTATCACTAGATGTATTTCTGCTACTGCATAAAATATAATCTAGTAATCTATAGTATAGTAACCCATGCTCACCTTCGTCTTTAGTTAACCCCTTAGTGACACCGCTTCAGAAAATGTTTTCGCTTCTGGGGACGGGAGCAATTTTGCCTTTTTTTTTGTTTGGTTTTTTTGCCCTTTTTTTATGTTTTTCTTGTGTTTTAGCCATAATTTCCATCTTCCTGATTCACTGCACCTACACATATACTGTTTTTTTAAAGGACAAAATCGCTTTAATTTGTTGTGACATATGCATATAGAAATTCTTAATTTTTTTTTTTCCTAAAAATGTTTTTTAAAAAAATGGAAAACTATTTTCAGTTTTGTGGCCATGTGTACGTTTAGTGTAGCGAAGAGAAAGTAATTTAGAAATTTATTTTTCCTGATTATTTTACTTTGCATGTAGGAGCACCTATCACATTTTTGTGGGGGACTTTAAAGGTTTTTTTATTTTGTGTCAATCTTAATTTTTGACATTTTATTTATTTTTACACTTAACGTTATTATCACATAGGGGGGCTAAGAAGCCCCTTATGTGATGTCTTCATAAAGAGGACCCGTCACTGTATTTGATATCAGGAGTCTGAAAGACCTCTAATGTCGCCTAGAGATCCCCAAAGAAGCTGATGAAGCAGAGATCTGCTTCACCAGCTTCTGTAGCCAGAGAGTGACAGATGAATGCAGGAAGTGATGTAGTAAACATCACTTCCTGCATTCAGAGACCCGGGGAGGAGCGCACTGATCTCCCTCAGTTGACCGTGCACCGAGCCACGCTGCCGGTCCCGGATCGGATGTTTTGTTGTGAGCTGATCTGCTTCATTTATTGTTTGAGAACACTCTGAGATTCCAAGTAATTGTTTGTTTTCCATTTCTCTCAGGACTACCATTGGCAATGGCGCTCATTCCTCACAAGTGGCTTTACAGCGGTTTACTTCCTGGTGTATGCAGTGCATTATTTCTACTCCAAACTGCAAATTACAGGGACTGCAAGCACCTTCTTATATTTTGGCTACACTATGATCATGGTTCTCATATTCTTCCTTTTTACTGGTGAGATGGTGGTCCGATTTACATTTTTGTACAGTACAAGACAAAGTGGTGACAAATATTTGCTGTTTTCTGAAAAACATTTTTTAGTGTACACAATTCCAGAACTTCTTTCTCTCTCTTGCAACAGTGACTTGAATCAGAACTCTGTTGAACTTTCTTAACCCTTGCAGTGGGGTTACCCCCCCCCACACTGCAAGGGTTAAGTACTCAATTGCATCTAGGGGCAATAACTAGTTCTACTCACCTGATCCTCAGAGCCAGCTTGTTAGACCGGTCCCTGAAGCCTCTTTCCTCCTCTGCTGCAGTGGCCTAAGGTCCAGGAGCCATGTTCTATACACTGTATAAGACATGAGGATGCTGAGAGACATGCCATCGTTGCAATGGAGGAGGAGACGGGGAAGGGGCTTCCCTGAACTTCCTGTCCAGTATAAGATCACAAAGGACAGTGCAGACTCCAACAACTGTTTATCTACTAGCTTGGAGTGGGGAGAAGAGGGGGCCCGGGGGAGGGAAGTAGATTGATTTGCTGTGTCTGTGGAGAGGCACACAGCTTACTAGCACACACAAGGGTGACCGCATAGCCCTTTACTTGAGAAAGGAGTCCTCTAAGGCAGGAAGTCAGAACCAGCGCTTAGGAGACAAGCTGTTTCTGCAGGAAACTAAAACTTTTCCACATCAAGGAGCAGCATTCCTTTCATTGATTTCATCCGCATTTGGAATAGCTTAAAACCCTTTTGACTTTAATACCACTTTGACCCTTTACTGACCAGCCCGAGAGGAGTACATAGGAAAGTTAATGTTGGCCATATTATGTTTGGGACCTTGTTTTACCTGGAATGTGCCAAAGCAGCGAGTTTTATCCTCGTTTGGTCTCCCGTCATACTTGTGCGAATATATGGTCAGTGATACCTGTGCGTTCTGTGATGTAACTGAGCTTATACTTTGTTTTTCTGTGTACTTTAGGCACAATCGGATTCTTTGCCTGCTTTTGGTTTGTGACCAAGATCTACAGTGTTGTGAAAGTGGACTGAATAGCACAACAGTGCAAGAAGAACTTTAACTTCAGAATCTCTAAGGCAGTGAAGACTCCTTTCCTTTACAGTATTGTCATCTATTTGTGGCATAAAAACAACCTCTCCAACAGAAGCATTTTTGTTTTCAAATGTAACTCACTTTTATTTTGTTCTTTTGCATTGTGATGTTGCTGTTTGAAAAAGAGAAAACTACTTCAAGATGTATGCTTTTTGTAAATATAATAACTATGCTGTAATTGAGATTGACACTTCTAATAGAAGAAAGGTGTATGTAATGCACAAATATCCATTCTATTAATAAAATATCTGTAAATACAATGTTTGCTTTTAGACTTCTAGGTGGGATGGATTATTCTTGAAACAGGTTGCTGCAGAATTTGTGAAACTTTCCTCTAATGTCCTTATTTCTGGTTGAATATTATTTTTTTATACTGGGTAAAATGTCCTTACTTTTGGTTTCTTTTACTGTTCATATTCCAATTTAGTGATTTGAAGCCTTTAAAACTATGTGCCTCCAAGTCTTTGGATTTTTAAATTTATAATCTTAATAAACACTGTAAAAATGTAAATGCTTTTCATGGTATTATATTTGAAATACAGCAATATATGCTGTACAGTGTACAGATAATGAATAGATGGTCCATTGGGTTATTTTGCCACTAGCACCACTTTGTGTAATGGGTACAGCCATACATGTGTTAATAAATGTTCCTACTAGATCAAAACCGAAATTAAAAGTGTGTCAGACCCAAACAGTCTTTTTTTTTTTTCCAACCGTTTTAAAATGTTTTAAATTATTTTATTTTTGTACTTTACTGTTAGGGGCTTGGGGAAAATTTCAGGGATCTAAACAGACACCTGATATTTCCCTTTTTGAAATTGAAAAAAAGATTGAGGATATTGTGTCCTAAATCTTTTTCTGCAGCTTGTTATGAATGAACGTTGTAGAGTGCTCCTGTCCATTCATAAACTCAGGGGTTCTGAATGAACAGGAAGTGATGTTTCGTATATTCATATATATGATCATGAATGTACAGGAAGTGATGTATAGCACTTCCTGTTCATTCATAACCGGGAACACGGAAAGCTTACTATGTCAGTTGTTTACAAACACTCAGCGATCTGTACTGATTGCTGAGTGTGTTCCGCTCTCCTGCCTGACTGCTCCTCCCACACCGCTCAGCCTCCTGACAGCTGTCTCCTCCTGCACCGCCCCACTCGGCCTCCTGACAGCTTCTCTTCTCCCCACTGGATGCCAGATGGGCTCTGTGTCCCCTCAAATCTCTACTGCCTCTGCCGACACAGGCAGGGGAGACCAGCAGGGTTTGGAGTGGACACAGAATGGCACCCAATAGGGAGGAGAGAGACGCTAGGGATGCACTGCATTTTTAGCCGTTTTGTTACTATCGGCATTTTGCCCATAGTACCGTTTTTTTGGCAGACATTTTGGTGCATCCCTAGTTCCTACACATCTTGCAACAACAAAACTCAATTATATCAACCACTCTTAGCATATAAAGCAATTAGAGCCTTCAAATTAAGATATGTGCTATGTCTCCTGCTCAGGTGTTCAGGAGAAAAAAGTATGTTCCCAGATACGATTTAAGGAAAATCTTCCTTTCTATATGTCATTGCAGTGATTAAGACATTACTGCCACAGTGCAAATGTCACGGTCTTTCAGTATTACTGGAAAATGCCATAGAATATTGGTCACATTTGCCTTTTGCTCTGAATCCATAGTTACATAGTATTTGAGGTTGGCAAAAGACACAGGTCCATCAAGTTCAACCTATGTGTGCGTGTGTGGTCTAATATTTAAGTGTACCTATACCCCTGTATGTTAGTCTCATGATGGAATCTAATTGATTTTTTTTTTTTTTTTAACGAATCAATATTCTTTGCTGATACCACTGCTTGTGGCAGAAAGTTCTGAAATGTAACCACACTAACTGAAAAGAAGCCCCTACGCCCTTTGTGGTTAAATCTTTTCTCCACTAGTTTTAGGTGGTGGCCTTTAGTCATTGTTATGGGGTTTACAGTAAAAAGTTTAGTGCCGATGTTGCCGTCACCACTAAACATTTTGTACAACAAAATCATGTCCACTCTTAACCGCCTCACTTCCAGCATGAACATGTTTAAATTTAGCAACCATGTCTCATAGTCTTGATCCTCCAGCCCCTTAAATTAGTTTGGTTGCTCTTCATTGGACCTTCTCCAGCTCCAGGACATCTTTTCTCTTGACTGGTGACCAAAACTGAACCACATACTCCAGATGAGGTCGAACTAGTGATCTATAAAGTGGCAAAGTTATTATTTTGTGTCTACAGTACATTCCCTTTTTAATACATGACAGTACTCTGCTAGCTTTGTTTGCTGCAGCCTGGCATTGCACGCTATTCAATCTGCGGCCAATTATGACCCCCCAAATCTTTTTCCATTTCTGACTTCCCTAGCGGAGTTCCCATTTTTATGTGTATTCCACTTGCCTGTTTTTAACCCCAAAATGCAATACTTAACATTTCTCAACATAAACCTCATCTGCCATGTAGTTGCCCACTCCCCTATTTTATTCAGGTCCTCCTGTAATTACATAATGTCTAAGTCCGTGTCTATTACTCTCCCAATTTTAGTATGTGCAAACACAGAAACATGACTATTTACGCCCTCCCCAAAATCATTGATAAACAGGTTAAATAGTATTGGGCCTAGCACAGAACCCTGGGGCACGCCACTCTCAACCTTGAACCAATGTGAAAGAGTAATTTATCAAAACTTCCTCTTGGCAGTTCTCTACCCATGTACACACCATTTCATATATGCCCATCAATTTAAGCTTGTGAATTAAGAGTTTATATAGTACCATGTCAAATGCTTTGGCAAAATCCAGATATACACCATCCACCGGCCTCCCTCCCTCCAGATCTCTACTCACCTCTTCGTAGAATGATAGTAGGTTGGTCTGACAAGAACGGTCCTTCCTAAATCTGTGATGATTATCACTTATACCTTTTTTTTTGTCACGAACAAAATCCACTAAATAGTCCTTTATCATTCCCTCAAATAGTTTGCATACTATTGATGTTAGACTGACTGGTCAATAATTACCCGCTTGGGATCTTGAACCATTTTTGAATATTGGTATTACCGTAGCTTTGCGCCAGTCATTTGGTACCCTTCCAGTCATTAATGAGTCCTTAAAGATGAGGAATAATGGTCTGGTTATAACCTGACCAAGATCTTTAAGTACTCTGGGGTGCAGGTTATCAGGTCCCAATGACTTATTTGCATTGTTTATCCGGTCTTTGTTGAACCCAGGTTACTGTCAACCACTGCAGTGTTTTACGCACTGAGCAACTCACATTCTTATTTCCATTAAACCCGTCTTTTCCCTGAGGTGTATGAGGAGAAAAATGAATTTAATACCTCGGCCCTCTCCGTGTTATTTGTGATTGGTCTCCCGTTTTCATCTTTTATTGGGCCCACCTGCACTTTTCTGAACCCTTTGCTGTTTATATATTGGATTAATTTTTGGTGGTTCTTTTTGCTGACTGGTGATGTTTTTCGTAATCTATTTTAGCTGCCCAGATTTCATGTTTACATCTCATTACATTCCTTGTAGCTTTGGAATGCCAATCCCTTCCCCTACATCTTATATTTTATAAATGCTATCTTTTCTTTGATATGTTGTATTACCATTTTATTTAGCCATGCAGGCTTAGCTCTTAATCTTTTGTGTTTATTACCCAATGGTATGCACTTGGTAATAGCATTATGTAATGTATTTATTAAAACAATCCCACTTCTCTTCAGTGTTCGAAATAATATGTCCCATTTATTGTCATAAACTAGATGATGCAGCTCATTGAAGTTTGTCTTTTGGAAATTTAGTGTTCTTGTCAGACCAACACACTTCTCTTTTCTGTACCCAATATTAAAAATCATGATTGGTGCCAGGCGAGCTGTTTTCTGCAACTAGTGATCTCCTGGAGTTTTCACACAACAGTCTCTACAGTTGATTTGGAATGGTGTAAAAAACATCCAGTGAGCAAAAGGTCTGGGAATGGAAATGCCTTTTTGATGAGAGGTTGGGGAGAATGACCAGATTGGTTCAAGCAGACAGTAACTTGGATAACCACCTTTTACAACGGAGGGGGGTGGAACAGCAACATGTCCATCCTTGAGGCAGATGAGTTACAGCAGAAGACTATGTACAACTCCTGTTTGTAAAGTAGAAAGCAGAGGCTGTGTGGGGACAGGCTTAATTGACAGTAGAAAACTGGAAAAATGTAGCCTGGTGTGATGTGTCATGAGCATGTTAGGACAGCAATACGTATATGAACAGTGTGGTCCTGAAGTGGTTATACCAAGATCATGGCGGTTGCTGCAGCAGCTGTGATCTTGGCGCCCCCTATGCGGTACTAACTGCACAGCAGGTGTGTAAAGCCGGATCGGAGGGAGATCAGAACACTTCCAGTGTCTGATCTCTCTGCGTAATGAATCTGTAAGTCATGAGGATTTTTCCAGTTTCAGGCTGTCATTTCTTAGGCTGCTCTAGCCAGAGAAGCATGATCTGTGCTTCATCAGCTTCTTTGGGGTCCGTAGGTGACATTAGTGGTCTAAGTCCCCCATTCACACCTAGGAGTTTTGTTACTCAAAGGTTAGTGTGATAAAATGCTCAGCAGAAGAAATCCCATTCTTTTCAATAGCCCCATTCACACCTGACCATTTTGTCACAAGCTGTAAAAGGCCAAACGCAGGAAAAAGTACATGAGCTTATTTTTGGCATATTACAGTGCATTTGCATTTTTATACAGAACTAGAAGACCACCCACTCTTTGCCAAGCATACTGGGAGGCATCAACACTGCAGAACTTTGATTCTGAGGGTTAGTTCACACCAGAAACTGCATCACAACTGAGTGCGTCTGCACATTTTTTTTTTTTACTAAAATGCTAATAAGACAATTAGGTCACTTCCTTTTTCCTGTCAGAGCATTTCCTTTGTTTGTTTTGGAGCTCAGACATGCTCGCTTTGTTGGCAGGCATGGTGATAGTGTTGGCTGTACCTACAAAGAGGAAGTCCCTGGATGATGACACGACCAATACTGTTTCGGGGTTTCTTTTTTTGATGCGTTCCGTTTTGATGCGCTCCAGTGTGATCAGATGCAGCTAAAATAGGACGAGCAGTACTTTTTCTGACTGCATCTGAACGGACTGCAATGATGTGAATACAGCACAAGAAAGCCCATAGGAAAGCATTGTGATGTATTTTGGGTGCAGCAGCCAAACTGAACGGACTGCATCACAACTGCCTATGGTGTGAACTAGCCCCTAGGCCTTCATCTAACTCATTAGGTCATAGCCCTGTCTGTATGACCCCAGGGCCCCCCAGTATAAGAAGCAGGGCAGGAGGAACAATGCTTGGCATGAAGATATGGCCAGAGTGGGCTAACTTCAGCTTCGCCATCAAAGAAAGCAATGTGCATGTGACATGTGGGTGATGTTTTCAAGCTTTCCTGCTATCATTTAACTGCTCCAAGTTTGTTGTGAGATTGCAGAAGCAT